GCCCATCCATCCATCCATCCATCCACCCACCCACCATCCCTTATACATTGATCCATCTTCTTTTATTTCCTTCAGCCCATCCAGATAGTCACCCAACCCTCCATTCATCTGTGTTTATACATGTTCATTATGCATCCTCCTCCCTTCCCTACTTCTCCTCATCTCATCCCACCTATCTTATACATCAGTGTCCTTAACTATTCATCTAACCTCAATTTCTAAGTAACTTTCTCCATCTTACTTACCAACTCTACCTGTCAGCCATCCATCCATCCTCTGACCCAACACGTCAATACATCCATTCATCCTTCAAGCCATCTGCCATCACTTCTGCTCCTCTAGCTGAGCCATGTGCATCCATTCATCCTGTACCTGTCTTCACACTCATCCTTGCTCACTCGCACCCTATTACCCCTTAAGTCATCTCATCCATCCATGCAGTTTATGCACTATTGTTTTGTTTTGTTTTGTTTTGTTTTTCTATTTTCCCTCCCTTTTCATCCATCCACATATCCAACTACACTTCTTTGGACTTTGTGGAAGAAGGAAGTGCTGAAGAGAAGGAAATCCTAAAATTTATCCTGGGTGAGGGTGGCCTCCTCCTCCGGAACATTTCTTCATAACCAGAGAATCTTGGAAATGGGTCCAGCTCTGCCCAATGTCTTCCCAGAACTTTCTGGGCTCCAACCTACTCCCTGTATCTTAACATTCCTTTCCCAGAGACTGCGGGGACTGCCACTTCTTCTGTCTATGCATAGCGCCTATTCTTAGGTAATCCCTGTTAATTTGAGGTTAGGAACCCCGTTCAGAGTAGAGCACACTTATATCCTCCATTGTCTGATCATATAACTCTCTGAGACCAACTTCCTCCTTCATCCTACGTATTCATTTATTGATTCCAGCTTTATTGTGATACAATTGACAGGTGACAGTGTGTAAGTCCAATGTGTACAACGTGATGATCTGATACACGTACATGCTGCAAGATGATTGCAACAGGGGGGTTCTTTAGCACACCCGTCACCTCACATAATTACCGTTTTTGAGGTTTGTAGTTTTTTGGTGGTAGGAACACTTAAGATGTGCTCTCAGCAACTTTCAATCAAATAATAGAGTATTGTTGACAATCCTATTTTATTTTAAATAATTTCAGACTTACTGAAAAGTTGCAAAAAGAAATACAAAGAATTCCCATGTGCCCTTTGTACAGATGTTCCCAGTACTAGCCTTTCCCTTCTCTCTGGCCACTGGCCTCACCTCCTCCCCTGGCCTCAGGTTCGGGACAAGAAGCTTCTCAACGACCTGAATGGAGCGGTGGAAGATGCCAAGACAGCCCGGCTGTTCAACATCACCAGCTCTGCGCTGGCCGCGTCCTGCATCATCCTTGTCCTCATCTTCCTGCGGTACCCACTCACCGACTACTGAGCCCCCCCGGGCACCACTGGCCGTGGAGACAGGGCACTGGGACATGTTTGTTTTCACGCCTGATGTGACTCGGGATGCCGTGTGGTTGGGGCAGAGCAGGGCGTGTGCCCTGGAGCCCCCCTGAAGCTGTGACCTGGGCAGAGAGGCCGTCAGAAGCTCCGTGCAATACGGGGGCAGTGAGCTTCGGGCTGGCCCACCCTCTCTGCCTCCTGACCCTCTCTGCCTCTGCCTGTTTCTGGGGTCTATGGGCGTCTCCTTGTGCTGCTGCACCCTGGCTTCCACTGGCTGCCCTCCCTGCCCTCCTGTGCCCCCCCAGGCTCCTGGGGCCCCTCTGACCCGATACCCAGCAAGAAGGGCTTCTGTGGGAGCTTCCCAGTTTGGGGGGGCTGCCAGCATCTGGGGACTCACTCTGTCTTCCCTCTCACCCCACCTCCTCCAAGCTGTGACCCTGCTCAGAGCTCTTGTATCTGTGAACTTTCAATAAAATACCTGTCTGGCTCCAGCCCAGCCTCTGTCCCATGGCCGAGCAGGGCATGGGGGGAATTTGGCGGCTTTGGGAACCCCACTCTGGCACTGCCCGGTGGTCCAGGCCCTCAGGGCTGACTCTGCCGGGGAAGGTTTACTCCGTGATCTGGCAGTCTTCTGCCCACAATGCAAGGGGACTGAGCGGGGCCTTGGCAGAGGGAGTCCCAAACACAAGCTCCCTTGAGGGTTAGGCAGCCAGAACACAGCTGCCCGCCTGGTTGTAAGTTAGAGCAAAGAAAACCAGTGCATCCCCCAAGAGGGGACAGAACCCTTATGGCACGGGGTCATGGCTGGTCTGGGAAACCAGGCAGCTCAGGTGCAGAGAGGGCAGGAGGAAGGCCTGCAAATTTTACCCCCAGGCCCAGGGGCATGCTTAGCAGAGGAGGGACCAGGTGTGCTTCGTGGGTTTTGAGGATGGTGCTGTTTGGAGCGTCAGGACCCCTTGGAGGGGACAAGGTGGGGCACAGACTGCAAGAAGTGGGAACCATGACGTGTGGGCTGGGGCTGGGGCAGCTAAGGAGGGCGTTCACCGCGTCTCAGGGGCGAGGTTGATGGAATCTGGGGACAGACTGGGTGTGCAGGTGAGGTGGGCATGGAAGAGCTGGGGGGGAGCCCTGCATGTCCAACTTGGCCAGGGCTGTGTGCTAATATGGGGACCCCAGGAGGAACCCTGTGGGAGCAGAAGAGCCATCTGGGCTGAAACTGTGGGTTTGGAGCCTCTGCAGGGAACCCGGGCAGCCTGAGCAGTGACAGCCGGTGCGGAGCCCAAGGAACACCACCACTTCCGGGATGGCTGGCAGGAAGACAGGCATCCCCGTAGGAAAGCCGGGAGTGTGGCGGGCCGAGGACGGAGAAGCCAGAGGTGCCCACTGGGTTTAGGGGCTTGTAGGGGAGGAAGGAAGCAAGGAAGGGTCAGAGAGCCGTGCTTGAGGGATGGGGACATGGCAGCAAGTGGCCATGACAGGAGAAGAGAGGCAGCGTGAGGTGTTTGGGGTCTTTTCTGGGCAAATGAACCAGGTAGGGGTGGGGCACTGTGCCCTCGGTCTCTGGGGCAGTGCAAGGGTCAGCTGAGGGCATGTGTCCAGGGGCTCCGTGGTTTTCCCACGAGGTGTCCTGCTGCGGCAGACCCACCAGAAGGAAGGCGTCAATGGGGCTGGAGAGCAGGACACCGGCCTGGGCATCTGGTGAGGACGGGAAGGTGCTGATCAATCCCAAAAAGGCTGGGCTGCTGGGACTTGAATCCTGGTGGGTCCAAGGTTCCGTGTACAGAGTCATGCTGAGCGGGGAGGCAGGTGTTTCTGTGGGAGCAGCAGATCTGGTCTGGAGACATGTTTCCTAGGTAAGAGCGTTAAGAGGTTGTTAAGAGAGTGTTAAGGGGTTTCAAGCAAACAGGGCCTGGGTGGTTGGCAGGTCCCTGGGTGAGTGAGCAGGACTCCAGCCCCTGGCCTGACCCAGAAGCCCAGGAGAAGGGGGTGAGGAGAGACAGAATACCATGGCATGACCCCTGACCCCTAGGCAGTGGCAGGATGCAGGGTGGGGGTGGGGGGGGAGCTGGGACCCCTGCAGGTTTGCACGCCACCCCATGGAGGGGAGCAGGGAGCCTTCCAGATGGCCCCCAGGAGGGTGGCTGGTGGGGTGCTGGAGGGCAGGGAGCATCTGGGGCCAGCTTGGTCCTGCATGCTTCCAGAGCCTCCAAGATCATACCAGGTGGGTTCCCATCACTGCCCAGCAGCCTTCTGGAGGAGGCAGAGTCAGAATGTTATGTGGAGGGCATCTGGGAACTGGGGACTAGGTGAACCTAGGCCCTACCCTAATGTCCAGGTGGCTTTATTATGCCTGGCAGGGCCGGGAACGTAGAGGCAAAATGTTTTCTTCGCTCTTTTTCCTTAAGCCTTTGCAGCCAGCAGCTGGCTGAGCCCCTGGGACAGGTACCTGGAGGAAAAACATCCCCAGGAAGGAGGCCTCGGCCGGGCTCTTCCCTGGAACGTGCCCCGCCCAGCTGAGGCTTTTGGGCTCTTGTTCAAAAATGGTCCAGTGGCCTTGCAGGCAGGAAAGGCACCCCTAGCCTGCAGATGTTTGTGTGCTTCCTGGGCAGCATGGGGCCATACCCTGGAGGTGCCGTCTCCCCCACCCTTGGGCTCAGGAGAGAGGCTGGCGCTCGCTGGGCGGAGTGTCTGCGGTGGTGTCGGGTGCACCCCTCACCCCAGCAGGAGGGCAGGCACGGGGTCCGGTCTTGGTCTCTGGCCTCCAGGTCTGTGTCTTTGCCCCTTGGGGCTCCTCCCTGACCTTCCCGCAACTCCCCTCCCTGCTTTCATTTGGTTTTGCACTATGTCGGGCAGGCTCTTGACGCTCAGTAAATACTTGTAGGAACGAGGGAGCCAGTCACCTCGGCTCACTCTCTTCCTGTCCTCTCCATGTGCCCCTAGTTTCTGCATCTTCGGGGGCAACTTTCTCTGCCCTCCCCCTCCCCCATGCTGCCCCGATTGGCCCTGCCACTGCCCTCGTGACCTCCAGCCCACTGCCCAGATTCAAAAGATCGAGACCCAGTGGCTGAATGGAAAATGGGTCTAAAGGCCGAGACTGGCTGTATGCACATGTGTGAGCACGTGTGTGAGTGTGTGCATGTGTGTGCCCATGTATGTGCATGTGTGCACGTGTGTGCGCTTGTGTGAGCCCGCGGTCACCCGCGTGTGCTCGTGGGCACGCGTGAGGATTTGTGTGTGCCCATGTGTGCATGTGAGCCTGCATGTGTGCCCGGGTGTGCAGGTGTGTGCAGGTGTGTGCATGTGCCCGTGTGAGCCCGTGTGTGCACATGTGCTCATGTACCCGTGTGAGCATGTGTGTGCCCGTGTGTGCCTGCCTGTGTGCCCGTGTGTGCATGTGTGTGCCCGTGTGCATATGTGCATGTGTGTGCCCACCTGTGTGCCCATGTGTGTGCGTGTGTGTGCCCGTGTGAGCCCGCCTGTGTGCCCGCGTGTGTTGAGGAGGGCTGCTGTGCAGTTCGCGCCCAGCCCCTCCCCTTGGCCACAGTGGCCCAGAATTCTCCAGCCTGTCCCTGTTCTCCAAACACTGAAACCACAGAGTGGTCTTTCTCCATGACGTGCTCTCAACTCCCCTCCTGCTCCCACAGAATAGAGACCACTGGCTCAGATGGGGGCACGGGAGTGGGCAGTGCCTGACTGCGACAAGCTGCGGGGCCCAGGGAGATGGGCAGGTCCAGGGGGAGGCTGCTCTGAGGCAGGAGAGACCCCGACCCGCCCTGTAGGCACCTGCCGGGCCGCAGACACCAGCGGGAGGGGCCCGGGGCTGGTTGGAAGGACGGAAGCCCTACAGCCTGGAGCCCAGCCGGAGGGGGGAGGGAGCAGTGCAGGAATGTGAGGTCCTGGGCATCTCGTCCTCCGTCCTTTTCAGCTGTCCTGGGGGAGGTGGTAGGGTAGGGGGATCCCGGGTCTTCAGGCTGTGCTCCCCGACCCTTGTGACACGAGCATCTTTCCGTAGGCTTCCTGCCAGCTGCATGTCCTCTTGCTAAATGCCTGTTCTATTCGCTTGAGCACATCTTTCCTCCCAGGCTGTGGATTTCTTCGGGGGGCCCCGGTCACTCTGTCTACATCTTGTCTCGCCCCTCGACGGCCCTGCTCGGAGGCTCTCGGAGGGCTCTCTCCCTGGCATCTTCTAATAAAGAGAAATGTCCGATTTCAATACGGTCATAGTTACCAACACCTTCCATTAGGTGAGGGCCTTTCTCCCAAGACACAAAAAGAAGCGAATGTAGAGAAAAACACCCGGACATTTGCCAAATCAGGGCACACGGGGGTGACACCGGGGCGCTGCGGAAGTTCTACTTCTTGACGCCCGTGGTGGTTACGTGTTTGTTTTATAAAAGTCGTTAAGCTGTGTGGTCATGCCCTTATGTAGTTGCCGGCACGACATGCATGCGTTTCTACAAATATATTCATGAATGCCATCAATGGGAAATACCTCAAGCGTGTGTTAACATATATTTTCATATACATATGAAAACAAATTCATAAGTACACAGCTTTGCTTGGACTCAAGTGATTTCGTAGGGAAGTTGTCCTTATATTTATTCATAAACAAGCACAATGCATGGAAGAGAATGTCTCTGGAATAAATCACACAGACAAGACTGAGGTGTGAGGGCGGCACTGAGGGGGAGCCGAGAAGGTTTGTGGGGCGCGGGCAGGTGCACCGGGTGGGGGCAGTGGGGGTGACAGGGGGCTGGATACAGACAGGGGGTTTGGTCAAATACTACATGTGGTAAGGCTGATGGGAGTCAGTGAGAAAAGTGTCGAGGCACAGCAGAGCCACAGTGCTGGGTCGGATTGGGGAACCCGGACACCCCAGTTATCCCCACGGGGCGGGCGGCAAGCCTCAACACCCCGACAGCAACAAGCTCACCGACGCCCAGATCCTGGCTCTTAAGGTCACTGGTCCCTGCAGGGACCGGGCACCCCTGGGATCAGCGGGCAGCGGGCAACACCTGGGCTGCGGCCGGGCTGGATGAGATGACCGGGAAGCAAAGACCTGAGGAGGCATGAGCCCCACTCTGGCCAAATCAGGCATGACTGAGCCTCAGAGTCCATCATGTCAGTAAA